TACAAGTGATAAGAGACATTGCTGAACTGCTGGATCAGCTCAGCTAAAGGGAGTAGGTATATAAATAAAATAAATGTGCACTTTATTGTCCTCGTAGGGAAATTAGCCCTCTGCATTTGACCCATCCAAATGCCACTAAGGCTTACATCAGGAGCAGTGGTCGCTGTAGTACAGCGCCCAGACATCCATCTCCAGATGTTCATGCTCAGCTTGGTCAGGACTACCAGAGCTGGAGGATTTTACTTAGTGTGCAAAAAAAGAGGCTCAAAACCCGGGCAGGAGGAGCAAGGAGGGGTAAGGACGCATATGAGTTTAGAAGATTAAGACATGGCTAAGTCATGACTTGACTTGAAGGACAGAGCGACTTGTAACATTAACACTTGGACCTGACACTTGAATTCAGTGACTCATAGCTAGGGCAAGGATGTGAATTGGGAGGCAACCTCTGGTCTATAGTGAATTTGGACACATCTTTTGCCCATGCAGATATTTGAACATCTGGAGTTATTTCAGACATTCCACTTTCTGAATTAACCTGAAAATCACAGGCCGAGCTCTCGCATTACAGTCTGAAGTTAATATGCAAGAATATGCAAAGTATAGGAACACCTTTCTTTGTCGCAACAAGCAGCAATCAGGAATGTTCGCAAATGTTATATTTTTTTCAGTTTTTCAACGATTCAACGATTATTGATGCATTTTTTATGTATTTATATTGATGCACTTTCTCCACATTTCCAGAGTTAAATTAATTTCCATTATATTTTTTCACCTTTATGAAAATATCCATTGGAATGGAAATGCATGAACATTTGAACTCTACTATACTTCTCAAGGTGCTTTATGCTGCTTTTAGTGTTTCATATGTTAGTAACAAATATTACGTCAGAAGGGTCTAAAGGGTCAGAAGGGTCTAAAGGGTCAGAAGGGTCTAAAGGGTCAGAAGGGAAAGGTATGTGTTAAGTTCCCGTTTCTCTTCCAGTTTATACCAGGCTACTGTGCGCCAACCAGCTCAAGCATGGATCGTGCTCTTTGCAATCAATGTGTACAAGTGTCTTTCTCCAATGTGCAGCAGCTTGGTGGGTAATGTGTGTGTGTGTGTTTGTGTACGGGCACACAGCGGGGAGCGTGCCTTGGAGTAATCAGTGTGAGTGTGGCGTACAAGGCGACTGGAGCAGGTCGGATCTCACTGCAAGGTGGGTTGGGTAGCTCAGGCCACGCTTTACTGTATTTCAGTTCTGCCTTACTTGGCATATTTTAATAATCGGAATTTGGATGTTTGTGAATCATTCTCGATTCTTCCATGGCTGAATTACGATTAATATAAGAATCAGATATTTCCCCCACCTCTATTCATTCGTTTCTCAAGTAACAGTTTTAACTTCCAATTCAGTAAAGACCAGCTTTATTTACGGATGGAGGAAATACTTCTATGCTTTCTATAGGTGCTCATATGGTATTTGAACTGGCTGGCATGAGAAGGTGCAAATTAACCTGTTCTGTTGCAATTGAATTTATTATTGCGACCAAAGAAAACTGAAAACCAGACTATTCATCACAGAAAGCAAATACAATGTTTGCACTCTCTTAATGAGTTAATATTAGAGGAGTCACAATTCCCCAAATCCTCGATTAGATTTGATTTTGGATTTTAGGGTCAAGATTTGATTCGTATCTCTCTTGGATCAAGTACGCTAATTAAATGTTTAAATCCAGCGTTTTCCACCACCGAATAAAGCTGCAGATCTGCTGCCATACATAATATACTTTATACTACAGCTAGTTAGCGCCTATCCACTACAGTCTATGCTATCCACTAATAGCTGTCAAACCAAGGAGGCGGGTCGAAACCATAGACTGCCATTGACTTTGCATTTGGACACACATTTCACTATATGACACACTTAGTATTAACTAGGGGTGTCGCATACCCTAACCCTATGTGTATATTATTGTTTTTTTCTTACATAAAATAAGCTAACATTAGGGCAAGGGAAGTTTACACTAACACAAGCTAACTACCTTCTCAGGGGTGAATACAAATTCTTGTGGTTGGGTTGTGGTGGGATTAACGCCACGGTGATCAGTGTGACCACCTATACAGGATCAACACAACATTTGGATCCTTTTGAAAAAAAAAAAAATTATAATACTGTTGAACTTACTGATTTCCTGATTGCATAGGGTGGTGTAGGCTGTATCCATTGGACTGAGTGTAGGATCCCCAGGGGCCAGAGGCTAACAATGAACTCTGAAGCACACAAAAAGACGTATATGTAAAAATGAATACCTCATTCGTAATTCACCATATTTGATTATTATAATCATACGGCAAAAGAATTTGTGGATGCATTGACTTGCGAATTCTCATGTTCTCATATTTGTGAGGTTCATCAATTGTAGCACCAAGATTAACAGGTGGAAAATGCCTTGATTTCTGGTCTAGGCCTGACACAGGTCCTGTTAAGTCCACGACCAGTCCTAGTTCAGATCCATGGTTTAGACCTCTGTGTGTTGGTGGTGTGTTACGGTCGGAACAGTGTGAATAGTTCAATCAATCAATCACTTTATTTATCCCCAAGGGGCAATTAAAAAGCACGGAGAGTTGCAAGTTACATGCTAAAAAGCTCAATAAATAACACATAAATAGTTACACACAATATTTCCTCCACAAATTCTTCTGCATGAAAGTGGCTAATTTTATTGGAGGATGAATCAATTGATTAATTAAATTTGTCAAATGTTTTACACTTTTACACTTTAAAGTGTATAAGTGTCTAATCTAATATAAATGTAAGAGCAATGTAGAATATCATTTCTCAAGGAAGAGTATCTACTCATAACTAGTGATTTTAATTTTGAGATATTTAAACTTGAAGTCACTCTCCAGATGAATGAAATTGAATAGTAATCAAATGGAAGATGAATGACTTTGTTTTTCACTGTTTTCACCCAGAATGTTGAGCACATGTAACACATTTATCAGTTAGATCAGGGGTCTCCAACCTGTAGCTCGGGAGCCACCAGTAGCTCGCCACCCCCTTCCAGGTAGCTCACCAAAGGAGGACAAATCAAATAATATACTTAATATTTCAGATTGTATTATTCATTATCATTATTCATTATTGTAAATGTACTTACTTGGTGCCCTAGTAACAAATATGCAATGGTAAATAAGACTGTACACATAATCAGACTCATTCACACCAAAATATCACAATCTTTTTACCAGGGTTAGCTTAAAGGAGTAGCTCTCTGCCTTTATCGTCCCAGGAAAGTAGCTCTCTGGGTGAACAAGGTTGGAGACACCTGAGTTAAATAATACAAATTTAGTCAAGTTGTTGCATTACCTCCATGTTGGATGGGGCCGTGGAGAACAGGCTGCTGTCCAGCTGAGAGCCGTCTGGATGCAGGTAGCTCTCCCCGTCCATGGCCAGCACTGAGGGCAGGGTGGGCATCAGGCTTCACACATGACGAGTGGCTCACTGTGCACTTGCCCTGTGTTCAGAAGTTTTAGCAGTGGCAGACCCTATCCATGTCCTGGGGGCACAGAGGACAACAACAGATTTGAATTCATCTTCTAAATTGATTTGAATTCTCCAAATATTTAGAAATATTTATCATGTTTTGTCTCCTTATTGTAATCTACCCTTCAACACTAAAATTTCCCCACTGGGAATTAATAAAACCATTTGCTAATCAAAGAAACTTTTTCTGGGCAGGAAATGTATTCAATAAAATAAAATAAATTGTTTCCTAGTAATTACAGATGAATTCACAAATGCACTGTATGCCATAGTGGCCCCTTCACATCAATTCAATACCGGCAACATTCTTTTCACTACTACAGCGCCATCTATAGACACTCAAACACAGTACATTGAAATCCTTTTTGTGAATCTGATTGAGTCCAAAGTTTTTCATCGACTTTTAAATTCCAGACCTAGACACATTAAATGTATTTACTTGTCATGCGCTTTTGTGTGTGGCTGTGTTAATCACTTCATTTCCTTTGTTTTGGATTCTCTCAGGGCCATATACTTAGACCTACAAAGCTGAAAGAGAGAGGCTTTACCACTGTGTCACTAGAAAGTGACACAGGGGTGGTCTGGAGTCCTATACTGGCACCTGGTCACAAAGAGTGGTGGGAGGGCTGTAATTGTCGCTTGCAACTTTGATAAATATCAATATCCTTATTAAATACCACCGTGCATGGACCCATCTTTCTATTAAGTACAATTAAATGCACTGGGACCACAGAAAATGTCGATGGGATAAAAATCTTACAGATCTATTGAACTTGGAACAGTGCCCCTTACACTAGGGTCCTTTCACCTGCCTTCTGTTTTGTTTTTCTCACCATATATCCCACAACTTTCCCTGTATGCCCTGCTTTGTTTCCTCACAGAGGGCAGTCTGGCACAGGACAGCTGTGTTCACTGGGGACAACACTGAACTAATAAATCTTAATAGAGTTCATGAGAGTCCAAATAAAAGGTTCTTTGTGTGTGGGGTGTTCGTGCATGAGGTGCAGACCTGCAGCCACAGCACATACACCCACTCCCTCAAACACAACTGCACTAACAGCTAGTCCAAAACAATCCACTGAAAGTTAATGACAGGCTACCGTATTTTCAAAGGCTAAACATAATTGAACATTTTAATTTGTCAACATTATTTGCTTAGACGCCTTTTAATCCCCTCCAAAGTGAATATAGTTTGGGGCAGAGGTCAAAGTAAAACATTTCAAAATTGGTTTATGTTAAATTAAAATTTGCATGCTTTCTTTAATAAGATAAAATACTACAACATTTGTAATATAACAAATTCATGATATTTGTTCATTTATTCATGTTAATGACCACAAACATAAATGTCTTATTTTAGATTTGTTTGAAAAGAGCAGGGTAACCGACATCTGTGAAGTGAAAGCACAACTAGAAATGTTACAATGGCTGAAGCCATTGTGAGTGGCTGCATAGATGTTGGAAGGGTTAGGGATGAAGAAGGAAGAGGAAGGGGAAGAAGAAGGAAGAAGAAAGAAAAGGGAAGAAGAGGAAAGAAGAAGAAGGAAGAGGAGGAGGAAGAAGAAGAAGGGGAAGAAGGGGAAGAAGAAGAAGGGGAAGAAGAGGAAGAAGGGGAAGAAGAGGAAGAAGGGGAAGAAGAGGAAGAAGAGGAAGAAGAGGAAGAAGAGGAAGAAGGGGAAGAAGAGGAAAAAGGGAAAGAAGAGGAAGAAGAGAAAGAAGAAGAAGGGGAAGAAGAGGAAGAAGGGGAAGAAGAGGAAGAAGAGGAAGAAGAGGAAGAAGGGGAAGAAGAGGAAAAAGGGGAAGAAGAGGAAGAAGAGAAAGAAGAGGAGGAAGAAGAAGAAGAAGAATAAGAAGAAGAATAAACAGTAGGATAGCATATAGTGGCTGCATAGTCTATGCAGCCACTCAATTATACATGATCTTGTTGAAAGATTTGCTCCAACTCGCTCTGGCTCTGATTGACCATTTGTGTCACACTCATTATTTTGTGCTTAAAAATCTGTGTTTTTGCGCTCTCTGTGATACTGGTGTTTATGTTTTGATATTGTCTTTGTAAATCCATATATGAGCCATATAAGGATTAACCAATCAGGTACCTTCAACTGCGGGGGAAACGCCAGCTTGCCTTAGCAACCGTCTGAGCAACACGTCTACCCCTGTTATGGCATGCCGCTAATGCCGTCAAAACAAATGCCCATAAGAAAATTGGCTCCAGTTAGCTTATGTTCAAATCGGTGTCTTCCATATTAAGCAAACACGTCAGCAATCTGTCAGTCCACTCCTAAGATACGGTCTATGGTGGAACTCCCTTTCTTTTGGGGTATGACCAGTGGGGGCAATACCACCCCGGGCTGATGGGGGTGGACCCGTAATAAGAATTAGCCAATGCTAACATATAGCATCTTCTTACCTCTCGAAAACACCTTTACAGGATGGTCCAAAAGTTTTTTGGACCAGTCTAGTTTACTCGCTGTGAATTTTTGAAATCCCTCACTAAAATTAATGGGGCTTGCGCCGGCTGGTGCATGCGCAAATGCGTTTTTTCCCATTTTCCAGCCCCCGCGGCCATTTTAAATCACTCCATGAAAGCCAAATTTTTGGCCCATTAGTTTGAACAGCGGAGATAGGCGTGACTACGTCCGTTAATATATTGACCCCTTGCATGTGACGTCACGGCCACGCCCACTCTCCATGACAGACGGCAGAAGTCTAACTGCGAGCCTACGGACACCTGACCAAAACAACCTGTTTCAGCGCATTACAGCCACAACTGTGACATTTTGCAGTGCGGTTGATTATACTAACAGGCAAGGACATAAGCTTTTTTATCTGATACCTGCTCGTCATGAAGACAGAAGACGACGATGGCCAGCGGCAATCAACCATAAGGACTGGGACCCATCCAAGTACTCCCTAATATGCAGTGAACACTTTTCACAAGATAAAGCAATCACAAGTTTGTATTTATTTTATTTACATTAATTTGGAGGACAATGACACACGTCAAACGTGTCTCTTACTACTGTCCTGTATGTGCGCTGCAACATTGACATTTTTACCTTTTAAGTCAATTGCGTGTTTCACTATTTTCTAGGGCTGGGCGATAAAACGATAACGATATATATCGCGATAGACATGTGTTTGATATCAATAGAGAATGGGGTCGATAGAATGTTCGATAGTTTAACTTAACTCCGTCAGGAAAAACAGGAAGAAAACACCGGAAGTAAAGCCGACTCATAAGCACGCGGCATTGTGGGGGATGTAGGCAGAGGCTTCTCGACCAATAACAGCCGAGCAGGAACCGCAAAACTTTCTGGGAAATGCAAAAACACCAACAACCGCACCATCCATGGATCTATAGCTCGTGTTTCAATGCCGTGTCAATGGTTATGCACGTACGTGCGCGGAATAACATGTGCGGCGGCAGAGGCAGTGGACAGACCCGATGTATTCGGCGAAAGCAAGAGATTTAACTTTTTCCTCGGGAAGCATGTGCGGCACAGAGAGCCGCACGGAGCGGTCACAGGGACACAAGACCCTCAAAAACAGCTAAACCAGGAGCTAAACCAGGAATAAAAAACCAGGATTAAACCAGGATTAAACCAGGACTAACAACGAGGGACACAGTGTGAACATATTCCTCCAGCCTCATTTGCCCGTGACTGTAAACAAGGCTGCTAAGGTTGGTTAGCCCACACAACAAATGTATTTATTTAGGTTAAAAAAAAAAACTCAATATATATCGTTATCGACCGATATGAATGACTTATATCGTGATATAGTTTTCAGCCATATCGCCCCGCCCTACTATTTTCCTCTCCGTCAGTACGTATCATGTTTGGCTGTAGACATAAAAGCCACAGAAAAGTGGACTATTGCTAATGCAGCAAAACGTACATATA